AACTGGAGTGATCTAATTCCAGAGCCATCCTCTCAGTTCAGCTCATTGTAATATACTCCAAAGTATTCCAAAGCAATCATCAGAGAGTATCATTCCTATGAAATTATTAAGCTGAAAAAGAGATCTTATATTTTGAATTACTAACACCTGCTAGTTTATGAAATACGTGTTTTGCTGTATTTAATTTTTTAATTGTTATAAATCAAAATAAAAACAATTTAAATATGCAATGGTAAATACATTATAGAATGCTGATATGGATGATTATTATTCAGCCATACATAATGCTGCAAAATAAATCTATAGCTTGGTAACAGGAGCATTGTAAACCAAACACAGATGTTCAAACAATATGTAGAAAATACACCATTTCATAAAAATAATATCACATGCACAGCAGAAACTAGACAGATATATTAACAATTATAATTTCTTAGAAATTTTATATATTACAGTATTTCCACATTTTCTATATTTAATAATTTTTCATATATAAGAATTCAAACAACCCAATCATAAACACTGAATTTCAAAGTAATCCAGACACCTCTAAAACCAGATGAGAAAATATTCATCAAAGTAGAGAAAATTATCTTCAGTATAGGGGCACAAAGGTCAAAGTCCATAGGTAAGAATCTTGGTAAAGTTGCACTGTAAACAAAGGACAAGAACTGCAAAAATAAAATGAAGATTCAGTCCTGACACTTTGACCCTTTCAAGTGATGTGACACAACTTTCCCATATCAAAATATCCTAAAGTATTCAGTTTATCTTTGGCCTTGTCTGAATTGTGGATACATAATTGTTCAACTTGTAAAAATTCCATAGCGCGCGCGCGCGCACACACACACACACACACACACACACACACACATACAACTGTTAACTAACAGGAGCTGGAGAAATGGCCTGGTGGTTAAGAGTGCTTACTGCTTTTGAAAAATTAAGTTCCCATCACCCACATGGTGGTTCATAATTGCCTGTAACTCCAGTCCCAAAAGATTCGAAGCACTCTTCTGGTTTCTGCAGGGTCCTGAATGCATGTGGTGCACATAAACTCATACAGGCACATGCACAGATAAAAATAATGAATAAATAAATCTGGTATTCAAATGCTAACAACAAAACTAAGATACAGTTCTCTGCACAAATGATAATGTACCTGAAAATGAGTTTAAGAAACTAATTCTATTTACAGTGATACCAGAAAAGCAAAAAAACTTGGGATAAGTTAAACCAAGAAAGTAAAATATCTTTACATTAAAAGCTATAACATATTAATAAAAGAAATGGTAAGCACAATTAAATGGAAAGATATTTTATGTTCTAGAGTTGGAATGATTAATATAAATACATCCATGCCAAAACTGATCCTGACATTTAATGAAATCCTTATGAAACTTTCAATCCCATTTAGGAAAAAAACCCAAAATTTACATAGGACTACAAAAGGTGACCAATCTTGAGAAAAAAAAAAAACACAGTGCTAGAAACACCATGCTTCCTTACTTCAAATTATATAATAAATCTATAGTTTTCCAAAAAGTGTAGAATAGCCATCAAAACATATATGGACTCATGAAGCAAAGTAGAAAGCCCAGAAATAATCACACACATTTGTCAGTAACTGATCTTTAACAATACCAAGAGTACACAATGAGAAAACGATAGCATCTTCAATAAATGATGCCAGGAAAATGGAATATCCACAGGAAAGTGAGTAAAACTGTGCCTTCATGTATATCATCTAAAAATCCTCTGGAAAATGGTTACACTTGACGATGGATTCTTAAACCAGGAGCCGCCGAGAAGACAAGGAGGAAAAGCCCCTTCATACTGACTAGGTCAGGATGTTTTGAATATGACCCCAAGAGCAAACTATGAAATATCAAAACCACCAAATAAATAAGTGAGACTGCATCAAACTAAAGAGGTTCTGCACAGGAAGGAAAACAAGTAACAACTCGACAGAATGGAAGGAAATGTTTGTGAGCTGTTATCTGTGACCGACGGCTAATATACAAGATGTGTAAGGAACTCACACAACTCAGCAGACTAAAGACCACAAATATTTCAACTAAAAACAGTCAAGGATAAGAATATACATTTCCCTAAAGAAAAATTCAAATAACCAACAGATATAGAAAAAATGCTCAGCATTATTAATCACCAGGGGAATGCAAATCAAAGCCAAAATGAAATACCACCTCACACTTGATACAATGACTATTATCAACACACCAAGAGTTCAATCAATGTTGGTGAAGCTAGTTAAAAAGAGAACATTTGAACTCTGCTGCTAGGAATAGAGATCAATACAGACATTATAGGGAACATGAAGTACTATAACAAAGTTCCACTGATTTATTATAAGATATAGGAAGGAAATTAAATCAGCATGTCAGAGATGTCTCTGCTCTTATGCTCATTGTAACAATGTTCCTGATAGCTAAGAAATGGAGTCCATTCATAGATGAATGAATAAAGAAACATGGTTTCAGGAGCAACGGAGTATTACTCGTCCTTTGAAAAGTAGGCAGGTGTATCATTTTTGACAACATACACAAACCTAGAGGACATTCATGCTAAAGAAAATAAGCCAGACACAGAAAGACAAATACTACACGAACTCACTTACTTGTAAAATCTAAAAATGTTGAATAGTCACAGACAGAAGAACAGTGTTGCCAGAATTAAGTTGGTCAGATGTTAATCAAAGCATACATACTTAGGTGGTGAATAAGGGGATCTAAAATACAGAAAATTGATCTAAGACAAGTTAAATAGAAAGACAGAAGAAATAAATTAATAACTGTATGATTTCCTTAAAATTTTTGTAGTGAGTAAATGAGATCTTCGATCTCTTACCCAAGCAACAGACACATGCACACAGAAGGGAACCATGGGCAATGACAGACATGCTGACTAGAAACAGGTGATTAGTATGAGTGCGTATCAAATCACATCATACATCTTAATATTTTTGACTGTTATATCCCAATAACCTGAGAAACAAAGAAAAGCAAAGAAAAGCTGAAAAAAATACAATTAGGGAAAATTTATTGAGATTTCTTACACATTGTGACAACGGCCCCCTTTTACTGGTTTTTAGAGAAGAGAGAAATTCTTACCCCATACAAATTATTAAATATTTTCACAGACAATATTATCTTTTCACTTATTTACTATTTGAAACAAAAATTTTCTTTTTCTGGCATTGCTGGAGACTGTATACAGGATCTTGGGTATGCTAGGCAGGCCCTTTACCACTGATTTGTTCCCCAGCAAGAAGTGATTTTCTAATTGTAAGATGCTATTGAACCTAAATAGTTTTCTGTGTTTATACTTTTGAACTTGACTTTGTCCATCAGTACTGACTACCTAGCAGAACATTTTTTAGTACTAGCATTTAAAATTTTGTGGAGCAACTAAAATATATTCATTATTATTGTTTCAAAATTGAAATGACTCTGGACAGTTCCATTTAAAGGTTTGGGGCTCAGGTGAAGTGAGGATGCTATTGAAATGACTCTGGACAGTTCCATTTAAAGGTTTGGGGCCCAGGTGAAGTGAGGGTGCTATTGAAATGACTCTGGACAGTTCCATTTAAAGGTTTGGGGCTCAGGTGAAGTGAGGATGCTATTGAAATGACTCTGGACAGTTCCATTTAAAGGTTTGGGGCTCAGGTGAAGTGAGGATGCTATTGAAATGACTCTGGACAGTTCCATTTAAAGGTTTGGGGCTCAGGTGAAGTGAGGATGCTATTGAAATGACTCTGGACAGTTCCATTTAAAGGTTTGGGGCTCAGGTGAAGTGAGGATGCTATTGAAATGACTCTGGACAGTTCCATTTAAAGGTTTGGGGCTCAGGTGAAGTGAGGATGCTATTGAAATGACTCTGGACAGTTCCATTTAAAGGTTTGGGGCTCAGGTGAAGTGAGGATGCTATTGAAATGACTCTGGACAGTTCCATTTAAAGGTTTGGGGCTCAGGTGAAGTGAGGATGCTATTGAAATGACTCTGGACAGTTCCATTTAAAGGTTTGGGGCTCAGGTGAAGTGAGGATGCTATTGAAATGACTCTGGACAGTTCCATTTAAAGGTTTGGGGCTCAGGTGAAGTGAGGATGCTATTGAAATGACTCTGGACAGTTCCATTTAAAGGTTTGGGGCTCAGGTGAAGTGAGGGTGCTATTGAAATGACTCTGGACAGTTCCATTTAAAGGTTTGGGGCTCAGGTGAAGTGAGGATGCTATTGAAATGACTCTGGACAGTTCCATTTAAAGGTTTGGGGCTCAGGTGAAGTGAGGGTGCTATTTGGGGAGATTAATGAAATTTCAGGAGGTAGGGTCTAGTTAGAGGAAGTATGTCACTGGAGGCATGTCCGTGGGAGCTATAACGTTCCTGGAGCTCTGCTCTCTTTCATTGGCCCCTCTTCTACCCCCTCTTATCATGAGTTGAATATCATCTACAAATATTCTCATCTCAAACATTCTGTGCCTTACCACAGACCCAGAGTTATCAGAACCAGGCACTGTGGGTTGAATCATCGGAAACCATGAGTAAAATAAATAATTCCTCCTTTATCTTGGATATTTTTAAAGCATTGAAAAAAATGATTACTAACACACTTAGCTAGATGTTACTTATTGTTGTATCAAAATATATATTTAAAAGATAAAAAGCTAAAATGGTCTTCATTCCCCCTCCCAAAAAACTTCAATTTCTTTCAATCTACCTTTCTTCAAATTTATTAAGCTTATATACAAAGAAAGTTGAGGAAAAGGACTTTTAAAAGGTAGCAGAGTGTAGAGGAATATGGGGGTAGGCTCAGCATACATGTTTGTAGAAAATGTCGTCATGCAATACAATGCAATGTACAATGAATATACATGATGAAAACGAAATGCATAAATGCAACAGGAGAGGGAAAAAAGACAGGCAAGAAAAGTGAAGAAAGAGGAAAGAGAAAAAATAGGAAGAATGAATAAGGAAGCACTCACGTCTATGCAGCAGGTCCCAGGACTCGCCGATTTGCGCCTGGGTTGGGAAATGACCACAGTCGTTGAAGCACTTAAGGAGCTCACTTCTTTCTAACCCTCGCCAGTCTTCTCTCTTGGCAAACATTGTTTCATAAACTAAAATCCAAAAGGGTAAAGTAACATCATTTATTTATAAATAACGTGCAAAGTGCAAGGCCACCTAAAGGATTCTTCAGGCTTTGTAAAAAAACGTTAACCCTACTTTTATCTTCAGATCGATGGAGGGGACCCTGGATTATAGAAACTTTTCTTCCTCACCCAATTCCGCAATAGTGAAATTCAGAACGACTGCTCATGGAGAACACTGGACTTCTCTGTTCTGACACTGGATCACAGACCCTACACATATCAACACCCAAACAACATCATAAGCCACAACACTGAAATATTTTGCTTTCTATTGAGTTGTATTCATTGCATACTTTAATGGGGCTCAGTGTGATACTCTAAAATGCATACATCATGCAACAATCAAATATAGCCTCATATCTATCTCCCCACATCCCTTTCTAACCGCCAGTAATTTCTATTCAACTTTCACGTCAGTTTTTCAACTTTCATATATAAGAAGGGATGTATGATATTTGTCTTTCTGTGTATGGTTTCTTTCGCTTACTATAATAGCCTCTAGTTCCATTCGTATTGCTAAAAATGAAAGGATTTCACTTTTCTTTATGTTTGAATAACACCACACTGTGTATGTATAAAACATATTCTTGGGACTGGAGAGATGGCTCAGCAGATAAGAACACTGACTGTTCTTGCAGAAGACCCAGGTTTGAATCCCAGCACCCACATGGCAGCTAACAACTGTCTGTAACTCCAGTTCCAGGGGATCTGACAGCCCCTTCTGACTTCCGCAGACATTGCACAACACAGGTGCACTTACCTACATGCAAGCAATTATACACATACACATAAAATTAAAATAATAAATAAAATATTTGAAAATAAATTCTTTACCCACTCATTGGTTGACAGAAAGCTAGGCTGATAATATGTTTTAGTTATCTTAGCCATTATGAATAGTACTTCAATGAACACAGGTAGGCAGGTATCTCTTTAGGGTGCTGATTTTATTTCTTTCAACATATACCCACAAGTGACACAACCGAATCACACTGTAGTTCTGGTTTTATGTGTTTGTTTGTTTGTTTGTTTGTTTGTTTGTTTGTTTGTAAAGTACTAGAGATTGAACCTAGGACCTCACACATCCTGGTCAAGTACTCTACCACTGCTCTATCTCCAAAGTTCTCTTTTTATTTTATTTTTATGTGACTGAATGTTTTGCCAGCATGTATTTAAGTACACTCATGTGTTTTCCACTTCCTAGATTAAGGTATTTTGCTACTCCTGGCTCAAGACTGTCACGGAAAAGTCATTTAGTTGGGCCACCATCCCCTGTACTGGACAGTAGACAGGAGTTAACATAGTGACTGAGAGAATGGACACATGCATGTTGCAAATACAGTGTTCTGTAAACATTTTATTCTTTTCTTTTCAAAAAGGTGATATTGAGCTCTGCTCTGAAGCATCACCCGATAACAGTGATGGATAGTCAGTGTTTACAGGATGACAGGCACTGCCTAAGCACAGACTTAGCTTTGAAAAATGAGCCCCCCAGTGACAATAGGCACCGGCATAGCTTCCAGCAGAAGTTACAGCATCCTGGCAGTCAACCATGTGGATTTCATTTTTCCATGCATTCATTCAGTTGAAGGAGGCAGTGATGAGGCATCAAACAAATAAAACTCAAGAACTATCCATTGATTGCCATGAGCAGCTGTGACATGATCACAAAGGACATCAGAAAAATGCAAACATTTAATATACGTATGGTTTTTTTTTCTCTTTTCAAATAAAGTAAAGCAGTTGCCTTTGGTGACCACATCTCTGTGTAGAGCAGAGTTCAAGGAGCTCTGGGCATTTGGGGGCTTAGAAGTGCCAGCATCTGCATTCCATCACCTCAAAGCTTCTTCCAAGACAGGACTTTGTTCTATCTACCTGGGCAACAAGCCAGAAGTCTCAGGGAATTACGACCCCTTGGGAATGGCCTTCAACCACGGACTGAGGTGGAGGAGAGCAGAAACCAGCATTGGAAAACCTCACACTTGAGACAAATTAGCTGCATTACTTTCCTGAATTCCCATGAAAATGCACTCATTCTTTTTAGCTTCCATCTCCTCTCTGCTTCGTTCCCCTATGCCACTAGCAGTGCTTTCTAAGATTTCTTCCCAAATAAGTTAGTTGGACTTGAATCCCTATCTCCAGATTTGATTCTAGAACAACCTAAACTAAGGCACAAAGAATTTACTTTTTACTTTTTTCTTTACATAAATACATTTCTCCTTATAAATGTACACACACCTTCATATATTTTTTTCTTCATTCAATCAGTTTCAGATGTCTCTCATGCTAACATCATAGCTCTGTGATTATGCAATGCCCACAGTTTGAATTTTATACCTTACAAGCAAACTTTCTGCAGCACACAGGCAGAATTATGAAACGGGCACACTGCCTCCTGTGCTAAGGAGGTAGAGTCACTAGTAGAATTAACAGACTCGGCTATTTAACCAGCTTCAGCAAATATATAACTGAAATTATGAAAATTAATGAACCTTTAAATGATTGAAAGATGCTTAAAAAGGTGAACAGATGTCTGCCAAATGTCACACATTAACAATCAACATATAGGAAGAAAGCAAAATTTTCCAAAAAAGTGACAAAAATATCTTACAGATTCTGTGGACTCAAGTTATTTTAGCCACCAATATAAATGAATGCTATGGTTGATCATTCTTTAAATTATTCATTTAGCTAATTCTATTCTACAGCTGAGACCCTGTGTTGGACAGAGCACTATCTGTCTAACTGAATGCCTTTATTCTGCCTTGCCTCATGTCAGCCTATTCTCAACACACGTTCCACAATGTGTTCAACCTTAGTTGTACCATGATTCTCTGTGTGTTATCATTCAATGAGTCCCCAACCCTCTGAAGGTAAGATACAATCATGAGGGGAATCGGACATCACAGGTCTTCTCCAACCTGCAGTGCTTATTACTCACAAACGCCATCCTGGCTTCCTCAAATGCTAGCACCCTCCAACCTAAGGGCTTTGTGCTTGCTTCAGCTACCTAAAGTATTTGTCTTCCATATATTCCATTATTCTGAGAGAGAGAGAGAGAGAGAGAGAGAGAGAGAGAGAGAGAGAGACTAGTGATAAAATCCAGAAACACGTACATGCTGTCCCCTGACTTTTAAGAAGACTTTCATTCAATAGCCTCCTCAACTACAAACTACCAAAGCCCAGGTTGGAAAATAAATACCATACTGTGCATACTCTGTGTGTGTGTGTGTGTGTGTATGTGTGTACGTGTGTGTGTGTTTCCAACCTAAGAAGTTATTTTAAGATATAAATATTGAGAAATCTGTATGTATAAATCAAAGAGGAAAAATCATGGGAGAAATGAAGACTACAATAAATAGATGTTACAAAACTTAAAAATGGCATAGTGACAGAATTGGAGTATGAATAAGATGTAGCATTTTGAAAGTACATGTGACTGGAAGTCAGCGGCTGAAAATGAAGTGGCCGGTGGGAAGCTAATCTATACAATAACTATTAAAGCCTTAGTGCATGTTTTCATAAATATTAGAAAATCTGTACTTCAAAATATAATGGAATCTAAAACAACTTTTCAAAACAGTTTAAGATATCTTACTAGTGCCAGGCATGGTGGTGCATGCCCTTAATTCCAGCACATGCGAGGCAGAGGCAGATGGATCTCTGTGAGACTGAGACCAGCCCGGTCTACCTAGTTAGTTATAGGTCAGCTGGAGCTACAGAGAGACCCTCTCTCGAAAACACAAAAATAAAAAGTATCTTTATGAATTTTGTCCTAGTAGATGGAGAACTTCTGAGAAAAGCTTTAAAACCTGGGTGCATGTGACTGTGGTACGACAGCCCTCACCCCTCTTCTTCTCTCAAACTAGTAAAAGGAGTTCCAGCAGCTTCATGATTGAAAACAGGTCCTCGCTTTCCCTATCTCTGTTTTCTACTAGGTTTCTCTTTCTTCTGTCTTTCCAAGTGTCTGACCCTTTGCTACACTCTGCTTTGAGGGAACGCTGAGAGTTGTATATATGGCTTGTCAAACTTTTGCAAATCAGGCTCTTGTTTCGGAATGTATAATCAGGAAATGAGTCCTCAAGGTTCCCGTAAAAGCAAGCTTTGACTTTATCTCTCTGTATCTTTTTCTCTTTCTCTCTTGACTTCTTCCTTCTTTAAACTCTATTAACAGATAAATGAACCATTGAACCTCATTTTAAGAATCTTTTAGCATTTAAACAATGGAAACTATCCTTTTATCAAATCTTTCAACCCTACTGATACAGTAGGCATGCATTAACTAGTGACTGTTCATTGAAGCACATATGCCTGCCTTCATAGAGCTTACAGTTTGAATGTGAGATAAACATTTTATAGAGGCGAAGCAGGTGGATCTCTGTGAGTTCAAGGCCACCGTGGTCTACATAGTGAGTTCCAGGACAGCTGGGGCTACAGGGAGACCCTGTCTCAAAAAGACCAATAAATAAATAAATAAATAAATAAAACACAAATGACCTTAGCAGGAAACTATATTTGTGCCATAGAGACACTTTTATTTTGGGGGTAATCAACAGCTACCTAATTGGACTTAACCAGAGATTGGGTCAGATAAAATATACTACTATGCAGCCCTCAATTCATCAAATATAAACTGGGATCTTAGAAAGTCAAAGATATAAACTGATAGAAATTATTCTGAGAAGAATTCACAATACCTTGAAGCAGTGTGTAGTTTAATCTGCTCAACATCCATCGTCTGTTCACTAAGTATCACAGTTTAATGTTCATTTGAGGAGTAATCCCTCCTCCAATGGGCATTGTAACTCTCCAGGCCCCCAATCCATTGCAGTGTCGGACTTATAGAGCAATATAAATCAATCATTTAGTCTCCTAGAAATTTAAAACCTAAGTGTCTCAGGCAGAAAATGTAGTTCAGGTGGTAGAGTGCTTGCCTAGCATTCATGAAACCCTGAGTTTGATCTATGGCACTGTATAAAAACAGGAATGATGGTGCACACCCACTAATCCCAGCACTTGGGAGGTGGAAACAGAAAGATCAGGAATTCAAACATCCTTAGTTATGCATAGAGTCAGCCTGTGCAAATTAGCTTTTGTCTTAATCAATCAATCATCAATCAATCAATCTGTTAAAAGTATGTCTCTAAGTAAGAAGGATGATCCATCCTTCCTCTCCAGTCAAAAGTATGTTTGTTCCTTACATCCTATTTCTCAGGTCTCTGGAGCAGTTCTGATTCATATCCTGTGTGAAGTCTGATTCTTCAGCTATCTTTCTAATATAATCTCTTCAAATTTCCTTTTATGCTTTATTTAGCCAGAATGAGGATTCTCTCACTTATAAACAGAGGACTAATGAATTAATACAAGTGAACAATATGACACCTGAAAATTCAAGTAGAAATATAAAATATGGTTACCTTCCATTGCTATGGGTAGTTAAATAGAAATTTTTAATGGCAAAAAACATCACTCTAAACTTAACACTAAACAGGATGTGACTGTAGGAGCTGGAGAGATGGCTCAACAGTTAGGAACACTGGCTGCTCTTTCAGAGGACCTGGGTTTGGTTACCAGCAGGCACATGGGAGTTAAGTACCATCTGGGCCAAACAACCCCTTCTGGCTTTCATTTGCACTCACACTCATGATACGTACACTTACATACATGTGTGCAAAACACTCATACACATAAAAAATAAGTTAAAAATATTTTCAATCATCATAGTACTTACATTTTTTTCTGTCCATCCATTCTTCTATCTCTGAAAAGTCTATAACCTGTCTTGTTCTCCAAAGACCAAGTCGATGTCTAATACGGTGGATTAGTGCCCGATACATGTTTATAACTACTTTCAAACTAGGTCCATGATACAAAGCCTACCAAAAATAAAACAGACCGTAAAGCTCTTCATGTATTTTCTCTCTTTACGTATATTTGCTTTATCTCTTTCATTTGATCTATTTTACAGAATTTTTTTAGATTATGGCTGTGTTTAGTGTTTCTTGCATAGGATAGTTTAGTATACACATGGAGTGACAGACTCTCCCTGATATTCTGAACTTCATAAGAGTTGCTTTGTCATCAGATAGTCACCTTTCCTATAGACTAGAGGTTTCCATGATGGCTACTTTCACAGACACTTCATAAGTTGCTCTCCAAATCTCTGTAGAATATAGTATGTTAATAAAATTTTTATCCATGAAACCAGCTCTGTAGAGAATACTTGATGAAATACTTCAGTTAGAAGAAAAGATTAAACACTCACAAGGGGCACAAAGAATAAATAAGTTAACACAGAACAGTCAACCAAAAGAGGTCTAAAAAGGAGCACTGTAATACCAAAATAAGAGGAATTAACAAACTATTCAATAATAACTCTCAGGGATTGGAGAGATGGCTCAGCACTTAACACTGTCTGCTCTTCCAGAGGACCCAGTTTCGATTTCCAGCACCTACATGGTGGTTAACAAATTTCTGTAGCTCCAGTCCCAAGAGATCTGAAACCCTCTTCTGGCTTCCAGGGACATTACATGACATAGTTACACTCACATACATAAAACACTCATATACATAAAATTAAAATGAATAAATAAAAATAATAATAACTCAATATTAATGGTCTCAATTTCCCAAGAAAGAAACAAATGGTGACATGTTAGATGAGAAAACAGGATTCATTGATTTGCTGCCTCCAAGACACACACCTTACCATCATGATCCACAAATCACCTTAAGATAAAAGGACAGAAAATGATATTCCAAGCAAACATAACTAAGAGGCAGGCAGGTGTAGCTATTCTAACATCTGACAAAATGGACATCAAACAAAAACTAATCAGAAGAGACAAGGAAGGCTGCTTCATACTCATTAAAGAAATAATAAACAGGGGGCTGGAGAGATGGCTCAGTGGCTAAGAACACTGGTTGTTCTTGCAGAAGACCCGGGTTTGAATCCCAGCACCCACATGGCAGCTAACAACTGTCTGTAACTCCAATTCCAGGGGATCCAATAGCCTCTTCTGTTCTCCGTGGGCATTGCACGACACGGGTGCACTTACCAACATGCAGGCAATACACACATACACATAAAATAAAACTAATAAATAAAAAATAAAAAAAGAAATAATAGAGAATATTCTATCCCAAACATATATGTGCCACACAAAAGAATACCCATTTTCATAAAAGAAACAATATTATATCTAAAAGTACACATTGGCTTCAACACAGTGATAGTGGGTGACTTCAGTACCTACTGTCACCAACAGATGAGTCAGCCAGGCAGAAATTAAATAGAGAAACCCTGGAGTTAAATGAAATCATAAATCAAATAAACCTAACAAACATTAAAAAACATACTTTTTTCTCAGCATCCCATGGAACTTTCTCCAAAATTGACCAAAATTAGAACACAAACCAAGTCTTTACAACTTCAGGAAGACTGAAATATCATCCTTTATTCTATATGACCAGAAAGGAATAAAGCTAGATATCAACAATAAAAAGTGGCCAGGTGTGGTGGCACACGCCTTTAATCCCAGCACATTGGGAGGCAGAGGCAGGCAGATCTCTGTGAGTTCTAGGCTAGCCTGGTCTACATAGTGAGTTCCAGGACAGCTGAGGCTACAGAGAGACCCTGTCTCAAAAAGACCAAAAAGAAAAAGGGATAAAGTTTAAAACTCACGGAAGCTAAACAACGTATTGCTGAGAAAAATTTGGATCAAGGCAGAAAGCAAGAATGAAAATTTAAAAGTCCTAGAATTGAACAAAACTGAAAACACAACATACAAAAACTTATGGTGTAGGAGAAAGTGCAGCCTGGGCGGCCAGAGCATGCATGCAGCAAGCAGGGTAAAACATCTGGCTGAGGCAAACCTGTGTTCTGCCAAAAGACAGAGACGGCTGATGCGAAAATGGCCTGATACAGAGAGCCAATGAGATACAGACACGACTTTTCAATGGATCAATAGGACACCGGGAGGGGGGGATATAAGGGAGTCCCATATCCGCAATAAACAAGTCGGCAGCTGCTCGCACTGCCTTCTCACCTGACTCCCGATGTCTGTGTTGTGACTCTGTGCCAACTCTACCCCAGGCCCGGAGGGCCCCAGGACTTCCGCAATATCTGGGGCCCAATGTGGGTTCCTCATGCTGGCATGGGCATTGACCTTCCTTGGGTTCTGGCCATCACTGTGGTAGCCGCTTTTCTCTTCTGGACCATGTTCTTTGCACTTTTCTGGTGGCTGTGCATCAACTGCTCTGGAGATTGGCCTTAGTTTCGCTTTCTCCACCCGCGACCACCTGGGATCCTCTCCCCCACTTTCTTCAGTGTTGAGAGATGCCCCTGCCTGAAGTTTCAGTAAGTCAGCCCCTACGTGTTACATGTGCCTTCAGTTCTCCTGAGCGTAAGAACCCCCTCCTTCCCTTTTCCCTCATCCTGTCTGTTGATTAGGGAGGTACACATTTTGCTTTTGGTTCACCCGGCACCTCCACATAAAGGCTGACCCCCTAGGAGGCGGAACCCAGGAGTGGCCCCCAACTGCCACCCCTCATCTGGAGACACTGTGTGGGCATATGGTTGTGGCCTAACGAACCACAGAAGTCCCCCACTAAGCACAAGACATCTGGATCCGACACCTTCTCTTTTTCTGTCTTAGAATTAACATGGGTAATCTGCCCCCAAGCTGTAGGGAACCCCAAATCAGGGCATTAAAATTCCTCCTTGTCACCAGAGGTCTTAAAGTAAAAACCAATGACCTAGATGCTTTCTGGAACGAGGCTACTATCCTCGCACCATGGGTGACTCCGGAAAACATATGGGACCCTGACCTCTGGATGCGCGTTCTCTTCCTCACTAGAAAATACAAGGTCTCATCCAGTGCTGTCCCACCTGCTTCATTTGTCCCTACTCTCCTAGCAATTATCTCCAGCCTTAATTCCTCTTCACCAGAGGATGTGATAGCAGCTCAAAATAAACATTGTCAGGAACAGGCTACTGTCAATCTGTCCATTACATCTCCCCCAACAGGTCTTGGTGCCTGTCTTGCCCCCGACAAGGAATGTAAGGAGCCAGCCCACAGTGCCAAGGCGCATGACCCATCAACCACTCCACCCTCTAAGTATCCTTGGCAGAAGATGCACTCAGAATGTGGCCTTTGTACCTCAGAGACACCTTACTGTCACCTCCCTGAGAATGGTATGCCCACAGTTCCTCCACTATCAGGACTGCTCAACAGGCCTGTCTTCACCTTCCCTGTGAACGTAGGCCCCAATGCCGCTAACCAACCCTGTGTGCCCAGTCCCTTGACAGACCCGTCCCTCATTCTCAAGGCTGCCAATAAATCAGGCCCTGACTCACCTTATTTGGAACAAGTCCTCAGGCAATGGGCCATGCAACTGCAAACACATTATGATTGGTATAATATCCTTAAGGCTGTATTAGAACCCTCGGCCTTCCTGAGATGGCACTCTGCCTATGAGAATCATGTGGAATCTCAGGCCTGCCTTAATGTTCAAAACCAGATTCCAGTCACTTTAGATATGCTCACAGGCAGAGGACAATACCTCAACCCTGTGACCCAGGCTACCATCAGTGTACATGCGTATTTCTAGCAGGTTGCCAATCTGGCCTTCAAGGCCCTAAAGGCTTGTACCCCTCAGGACCCCTCAACGTACTTCTGCAAGTTGGTCCAGCAGTCTGGTAAGTCCTTTACTGACTTTCTATCCTGAGTTACTGAGGCCTTTGAGCATAGAGTGGAACTCGGTCCCACACGTGAAATCCTGCTCAAATAACTGACCTGGGAAGGTCTTAATATGCCCACCTGCAATGCAGTTGCAGCAGTCCACAATGACTACATTCACAAATGGGTCATTGCTACAACAGATCTGGATTCCCAGATCCATCCTGTCGCCTCGAGGCCTTGACGAACTCCCTGGGCGTACTCTTGTCCAAGAGTAAACAGGCCCGAGATAGCCCACCCTCTGGCGGCTCATGCTGGAACTGCAGTAAACCAGGCCACTTCCACCGCAACTGGTCGGAATCACGAGACTCTCGGGAACTACCCAAAACCTGCTGCCCTAAATGTAATAAGGGCTATCATTGGGCTAAGGACTGCCGCTCCCAAAATCAAAACAACCTCCCTCCTTTAAACATCTCCTGGGGTGCCCCTCAGTCCCACAAGTAAGAGGGGAGACCAAACAAATCCTCTGGTCCCTTCCTATCCTCAACCATTCCCCGCGCATGACTGTTTATTTGGATGGCTCCCCCGGCAAGGGCCTGGTGGATACGGGGCCGATGTCACTATTATAACCATAAAAGACTCCCTCCACTTCCCACACTGGAAATTTAGACAGGCCCCTTGATAAAAAGGGTAGGAGAGAGCCAAGATACAAAAATCACTGCCCGACCAGTTCACAGGAAGGATTTAGATGGTAATCAGGGCTCGTTTAACCCCATGGTGGCTGACATCTCATGTACTTTGCCGGGCAGAGACATTCTAGAGGACATGGGGGTAGTAATTACCACTGATAACAGGGCCTTTCTTGATGATGTCATCTCTCATGATAAATTTGGCCTTTCTGTCAGAAACATTTATCATGCCAGCCTCATATCCATGACTACTCATCACCCCCAATTCTAAGGGCCACTGCCCCCCACGAGTCCTCGATTCAGGAGCTTCCCAACCCGGTTGCCCTAACCTGGATGTCAGATGATGCCATTTGGGTGGAGCAGTGGCCTATCTTAGAACCCAAATTGTCTTCCCTTAAGGGGCTGGTCCAAAAACAACTATCCCTCCGGCACCTGGAACCCTGTACTAGTAAACATAACACCCCTATCTTTGTAATAAAAAAGAAAAACAATAGTTATAGATTACTC